CCCCCAAAGGGACCCTTACTGGGAACCCCCTTGGGACCCCCCCCATTTTTGGCTTCATTTCCCGGGATTTCGGGTCCATTTTTGGGGTGCCGTTTTGGGTCCACTTTTGGGATCAGATTTTGTGGTTTTGGGGTCAATTTTTGGGTTCATTTTGGGTGATTTCAGGCCCGTTTTTGGGGTGCCATTTTGGGGCCCGTTTTTGGGCTCAATTCTTGGCATTTTGGGTCCATTTTTAGGCTGGGATTTTGTGGTTTTGGGACCATTTTTAGGCTCATTCTGTGTGATTTCGGCCCGTTTTGGGCTCATTTCCCACGATTTCGGGTCCACTTTTGGGGCGCCATTTTGGGGCCCATTTTTGGGCTCATTTCCCACGATTTCGGGTCCATTTTCGGGGTGCTGTTTTGGGGCCCATTTTTGGACTTATTTCCCATGATTTCGGCCCGTTTTTGGGCTCATTTCCTGTGATTTCAGCCCGTTTTTGGGCTCATTTCCCACGATTTCAGGTCCATTTTCGGGGTGCCCTTTTGGGGCCCATTTTTGGACTCATTTCCCGTGATTTCAGCCCATTTTTGGGCTCATTTCCCACGATTTCAGGTCCATTTTCGGGGTGCCCTTTTGGGGCCCATTTTGGGCTCATTTCCCGCGATTTCGGCCCATTTTGGGCTCATCTCCCGCCCCTTCCCAGGTCTCTGTGCCCTCATTGCCTGCTCCTGGTTCGCCCACCGCGTCATCACGGATTTCTACAGCCCCACCATCCCCACAAACCTCAAGTGAGTGCGGGGTCCTGTGGGGTCCTGTGGGGTCCTATGGGGCGCTGTGGGGCGCCTATGAGGTCCTATGGGGCTCTATGGTGTCTTATGGGGTGTTATGGGGTCCTATGGGGTGATGTGGGGTGATGTGGGACATTATGGGGTCCTATGGGGTGCTATGGGGTCCTATGGGGCGCTGGGGGGTCCTATGGGGTGATGTGGGGTGATGTGGGACGTTATGGGGTCCTATGAGGCGCTGTGGGGCACCTATGAGGTCCTATGGGGCTCTATGGAGTCCTGTGGTATCTTACGGGGTGTTATGGGGTCCTATGGGGTCCTATGGGGTTCTGTGGGGTGATATGGGACACTGTGGGGTCCTATGGGCTGCTATGGGGTCCTATGGGGCGCTGTGGGGTGCCTATGAGGTCCTATAGGGCTCTATGGAGTCCTGTGGTGTCTTACGGGGTGTTGTGGGGTCCTATGGGGTTCTGTGGGGTGATATGGGGTGCTATGGGGTCCTATGGGGAGATATGGGACACTGTGGGGTCCTATGGGGTGCTATGGGGTCCTCTGGGGTGCTGTGGGGCACCTGAGGTCCTATGGGGTCCTATGGTGTCTTATGAGGTGTTATGGAATGCTATGGGGCAGCTATGGGGCGCTATGGGGTGCTGTGGGATGTTATGGGGCTCTGTGGGGCTCTATGGGGTGCAGTGGAGCTCTACTGGGCCCTATGGGGTGCTGTGGGGTCCTATGGGGCAGCTATGGGGCTCTATGGGGTCCCTATGGGTTTCCATGGGTCCCTATGGGTCCCTATGGGTCTCTATGGGGTTCCTATGGGTCTCCATGGGTTCCTGTGGGTCCCTATGGCTCTCCATGGGGTTTCTATTTGTCCTTATTTGTCCCTATGGGGTTTCTGTGTGTCCCTATGGGGTCCCTATGGGGTTCCTATGGGTCCCTATGTGTCCCTATGGGGTTTGTATGGGTCCCTATGGGGTTCCTATGAGTCCCTATGGGGTTTTTATGGGTCCCTATGGATCTCTATGGGGTCCCTCTGTGTTTCCATGGGTTTCTGTGGGTTTTCTATGGGTCCCTATGGCTCTCTGCGGGGTTTCTGTGTGTTCCTATGGGGTCCCTATGGGTCTCTATGGGGTTTCTGTGTGTCCCTATGGGTCCCTATGGGTCTCTATGGGGTTTTTATGGGTCCCTATGGGGTCCCTCCGTGTCCCCGCGGCCCCTGACGCCGCCCGCCGCCCCCCAGGTACGAGCTGGGCCCGGCGCTGTTCGTGGGCTGGGGCGGCGCGGCGCTGCTGCTGCTGGGCGGGGCGGCGCTGCTCTGCTCGTGTCGGACCGGAACCGGAACCGGAACAGCCCGATACCCGCGGGTGAAGGCGGCGCCTCGAAAGACCGGAAGCGGAAGTGCCACCGACTACGTCTGAGAGCGCCACGCCCCCGCCGGGCGGCGCGCCAATCGGATCGCAGAACGGGCCTTGAGTCACGCCCCCTTTTTTTTAGCCGCGTCCCTTTAGCTCCGCCCCCTCGGCAGGAACCGGAAGTGCCGCCAAATACGTCTGAGAGAGCCCACCCTCCCCAAAACCGCCCTCCAATCGGATCGCAGAACCGCCCTGCAGCCCCGCCCCCTTTTAGCGACACTCATTATAATCCCTCCCCCGCGACCGGAAGCGGAAGTGCCTAAACGCTCTCTCCGCCAAGCCACGCCCCCACAGCCCCCGATCCACCAATCGCATCGCAGAAGCCGCCTTTAGCCCTGCCCCCTCGCAGCCCCGCCCCCATTTCGGGCGGCTTTCCTCGTTTTGACCAATTCTGCCCATTTTCGGTGCGTTTCCCCGCCGCGTTTTGGCCGTTTCGCCCAATTTTAGCTTTCCTCTCCCGATATTTCAGCACTTCCCGCCCCCTTTTGCCTCATTTCCCCACATTTCGGGTTCATTTCCCCCAGTCTGTCCATTTCTTCCCCTCCCCTCAATTAATTGCGGGCTTTAAATCACTTTTTTTTTCCCCCACCGAACGATTTTCCCCCAAAATCGCGATTCCCCGCCCAAATTTCGGGTTTTCTCCCTAATTTTGCCACTTCCCAGCCACATTTGCGTGTTCGGAGACCAATTTTGTGCCTTTTCCCCCATTTTGTACTTTTTCCCCCCATTTCCGCGTTCCTCCCCCCTCCCTTTTCCCCCCTTTTATACGAAATAAACTTTTTTTTTGGAGCCTTTTACGGAATTGCTCCCCGTCTTTTGGTCGCGTCCAAAATGGCGGCGCCCGCGCAATTCAAAATGGCGGCGCCCAAGATGGCGGCGCGGCCGCGGCGGCGCGGGATGATGACGTCACAACCCCGCGCGACGGCGCCATGCTCCGCGCATTGGTGGAGGGCGGCGCGGAGGGGCTGCTGTGGGTGGAGGGTGCGGATATGGGGCCGGACCTGGGGGGCTGCGGGGTGGGGTGTGGGGCTCCGCGGGGGTCTGTGGGGCTGCGTGTGG